CAAGTTGGGTGAATTAAAAGCTTTTTGACTTGTTCTGATTGATTTTACTGTGTTTGTGGGTGCCTGAGTTGGAAGCGGATGGGGATGGCATTGACAGTATCCATTTTTGCAATCAGCAGTGTTGTACCGGCGACGTCGATATCGTCTGTGGGGGCAGCATTTGACAATATGCAAAACCCCATGGTGCTAGCAGAGGAAGGCGTTTATTCGCTCTTGATAGCAGAATGTAGGGCATTGAGATGCCGGCTAGAGTTGGACAAATTGGGTTTCTGTGGGGTGGAATGGTTGGGATGATATGCGGCATCGACCTCGGAGTTGTCTCGGTTCCCTGACTGATTCAAGGTGGTGTCACGATGCGGATTGATTAAGCATCAAAACGCCTTGGCAACTGCCTCGGACGTGACATTTTGATTCCTTTCCAGAAGATTCAGCAACCGGGCACGAAAAGCTGGAAATTTGGACAACTGAAGACAGCAGATGAAAGTGAGCAATTTGAACTGATCGACGGATTAAAACTTTAAATTGAATTGTTGGCATGCGCGGTTCACTCTCCCAACGTGAATCAGAAAACCAACAGCCTCATCCACAACCAGTTACAAGCGTTTGCATCGCATACCGAAAATAGACGACAGTTCACTAAAGTGCATTTGTAGGGACTTCACTGTCTCCCCAAAAGTGCGGTCTTGTGGATTTCGTGGAAACGTCAAGCTGTGGTAGTGACTGAATTTTCCTGAAATCGGTTTGGGAAGTTGAAGATCAACCTTTAATCATGAATCAAACGTGAATCCTCCACTGCATCACAGTGGAAATCTACTACGCTATTAGCAATTCCATTGGTTGATGGTGCCGAGTTTCACGAGTGGCTGAACAGGCGGAATATATTAAAATCTTCATCAACTTTAATCGTTCTCCGAGTGATAGTTTAAGTTTTGAAGGAATCATGATCTGAACACAGAGTCACCAATTGTCGTTTATATGCACGAGCTTGGGTCCTGTCGAGTTCCCAGCCGGAGCAATCAGTAGGTAAGACTTCGACATAGCTGTCTTTAGGTTACTGACGTGTATGAGTAAGGAATGTTTGAATGTAATAGTCGGGTCGTTCTTATTTTATGCTACTTTGCGGCCACTTCAGCCACCTGCAGTTCGACCTCTACGCCGGTGGCGGGAAGTATGACGCCAGTTCCAGTCATTGACCTGCAGAAATAGCGTAAGCGTTATAAAGACACGATCACTAAACACGTAGTCGAATGTGGCCGACCGAGACAAATCGTTACTGTGCCTCCATATCATTGGCAGAATCATCAAATGACAGATGGTCATGGATAGTTAATCCAACTCCATCTATTCGACGCCGCGTCATCGGCATGGGTGGAATGAGTCAGCCAGGGCAACACAACACCCAGCAAAACAAAGTACAGGAAGCCTGAGATGTAGAGAGATTCAAAGGATATGCAGGCAAAAAACGGGAGTTAATTTACAAGTGGTTCTAGGTGCGTACCGAAGAGGGGAAATGAGAAGCACTGTAGCATCAAAACGTCCGTTAAGAATCAGAATGGCATAGAAATAGAGCACTTATTTCAGTTCAAGGCGATGGTTCGTTAGCTTGGCAAGAAAACAATAAACAGTGAAGTCAATGCATTGGAACGGCCAGAGAGACTTTTAAATACCTTGCATTTTTTTCTGAATAGCCTGATCGGGGAATAATGGTCAGTACATTCTAGGCTTAAATGATCGAGGACAGGTAATAAAGTTGACTGCATGACATTCAGCAGTGTGGACAACGATGACTCATTTCGAGGTGAGGGGACTCATAGAGGGTCGAAAACAGCTGGTAGTAGGGGCAAGGAGACAATATTAATGCCAAATAATCAGCTCCAAACTCGGAATTGGAAAAAAAAACGAGTCACTGTGCTGTGGGTACGTATACAACGTCCAGAACGCCTGTCCCTTCCTCCAGCTGCGATTCAAGATTCCTCTTGCAAGACAAGGTGAAGCGGAAACGTGAGAGTTTACGTGGCAAAATGATGAGCCAGTGACTTCCATAACACCCAAATAAAGCAAGTATCTCGCCTCTAAACGTTCTTCGCCCCTATTGATCTGAAAAAACTTTAAAGACTACCATTAACAGAATAAGCCGAATGGGTAAAGCAAAATTGGAGATGAATATCATGCTTTACGAAAAAAATGAAAGAGTGGTGCATTCCTAGCTGCTCTTTTTTTCCGATTAAATTGAGAAGATAAAATTCAACCGCACAAAAACTTGGCTAGCGTTTATTCTTCTGGGAATTTGCATCAGTGATTTCAAACCTTCGCATCAAAAAATTGTTTACAGCGCTCTGGACACGTACAAAGGCTACAGTAGATACCACCTTTCGGAGAGCCATCACAAACGGTCGAAAAGCACAGAACTACTCATTAGTGGGAAGGAGACGTTAAGCACGAAGCGTGAGCCCGTTTCAACTCCCCATTCGCAATTCAAATACCATATTAGGGAGAACCCCCTTTGAGGGAAGCTGAAAAAAGGACGTAATTTTTACACAGAAATCCTAGATGCCGGAAATTTCTCATCTCTAAGACAGTAAGACTTCATTCACATGAGCAATACATACAGTAAGGAGGGAGAAAGAAGCCGCCCGGGTCTGCAAACAAAACCGTTTTCGCGACTTTTACACGTGGGATTGCACTCCAGAAATGCAAATCGCGTTGGATAAATGGTAACGGAAAGCCAGTGTCGGAACAAAAAAACGACGAAACATAAAACCCTACTCACCCCACCTTTTGATTATTCAGGTTAGTTATCAAAGAAATACCATATGGATAAAGCAACACCTAAATAATTAAACCAAACTCCAGAGTAGAGTCAAGCACCCACGTTGTATCAGAGAGGAGGGAAATGTGTCGGTAGTTGATATATTTGGTGCCATCCCTCATTGCGACAGCAAAACTCGACCATGTCTTGTGTTTCCCTTAAATTCACACTACTCCGATCTCCAGACATATATCACCGCAAATCTCAAGCCTGCAATGTCACCATCGCCCCATTGATGCAAATAAAATAGCCATAAGGAAAGGAGATTCGGATCCCAAAAATCCAAGGCATCGAATATGCCCACTGCAATGGTTACTGGTTAACGCCCATCCATCTGTGGGTTGGGTGCGAAATGCCGTGTCGGGGTTTAAAATTAATTACCAACTAAATCTGAAGTTTTTCCAATCTTGCAACTAAACGCAATACCTTTCTGGAGTAAGTGAAGAGATGGAATTTTAATCAAGACAGTAAAATAACTAAAATTTTAGTAATGAGAGAAGAACCTTCACAATAATGAAGCGGTGAGAATACGATACCATTAAATGAACGATTCAGATACATTTCGTAACTCAAAACGATTTATGGCGTGTTGACTGTTTATGGAGCAAAATCTTACCAAACGATTCATGATTAACCAGCATTTTTGCTATTTACTATCAGATCAGTCGCCTTTGCGAAAGAAACACTATGGTGTTTGTGATAATGCGCATATATGGTTGACTAAGGCTAAAGAGAATGAACAATAGTGACGTCCGAAAAAAAGGGTAAACTAGCATTAGTCGAGGTAGAGTGGACAGTTGTAACTACAAGGCAAGGCCATCAAAACACCAAGCCAATAAAAAAAAGTAAGGGAAACAAATACTGAAAATTGGCACAAACCCAACATGAGAAGGCCGCACGTGTGAATCGAAGGATGTGAGTGGGGCAGCGGAGCTCCACCGCAAACAATAACCTGAACGTGACCACCAAGGAGGGCGCGAACTTTGGAGAAGAACAGCATATCCCAAATCGTGTTTTTGGAAAAGTTGAATCTACAGTAAGGACTTCAAGTAAGCAAACGTTGACGTTCTAATCCTACCGTGCAGCATGCATCAAGCTACATACTTGTCCACACGATTAATTTTTGATGCAACGGCCATGGCAAAAAGGCGTTGCTTCAATTCAGAATTTTCAATCTTCTTTTGAACACCCTCATATATTCGCAGCAGAATTCGTGGTACTGCGGTCCATAGCGTGGGTTTCAGTTGTTTAGCATCATCAAATAGGAGACGCGGTTCACCCGAGTAAAAACCGATTCTGCCTCGATTGAAGATCGTGAGGAGCTGTGGAAGAGACCAAACAAAATATGAGACCCTTGGATATTGAACTTGATCAGGCAACGAAGCCTTCAGCAAAGAGAAGAATACGAAGAAACAGGACCCCTGTTACAACCAATGTCAAGTCAGAATTCTGATAACAAGTGTTACCTGATTTCCACCCACAAACATACGATAACAGGAAGAGAGTGAGTTTTATAAACATAAATATGTGCGACGGGGGAGGGAGGAGACACGCCGCATGCGAAGTCAAATAACTGTATATTCAAGTTAATAATTTCAACATTGAAAATGCATGCCAAACGTCGGTTAATTGTTTGTATAAATGAGCCTCAACACAAGGTGAAACGCTTGATAAGCAAACATGAAAAGGGATTAAAGGAGTCACCGCCGGAGCACGCGTGGCAGCAAATAGGCCGCGTGATTTAATGGAATGGGATCATAAATTGACTCACGATAAACATTTGCTCGAATATGTGAGCCATGGGAAGATAAGATAGGTAGACTCCATCTTCCGTTATAATCTGAAAGAAGGAGGGAGTAAATTAGTGGGTTTCATTGTCACAAGTAGGTCTGAGGGCCAATAAACACAATGAATTGCTGAAAAGTGGCCCCTCATTATTTCGGTAAGGGGTAGACCAAGCGCTATCGAGAAGGACCAAAATCAGTGGGCAACTTTATACACCCCGATAGCCCAGAACCACTGGCATTATGTAGTGATAATTTTGTTTTTTCCAGAATTGACAAGGCGAATTAAAATTGCAGGGGAAAGTACACTCAAACGCCCATACTAAAAATGCACCCATACACACACACGCTTCCTGATCTACGATTAAAGACACACTGATGAATCACAATGTGGAAAAATATTCACGAACCGGGTAAAAATGCAGCACAGAAATTATTCTCAAAGTGGGACAATAGAAATGGATAGATTTGGTTACTCCATAAGCTTTCAGTGCTTCTTTTTGTGACCACCCATAGGCTGGATGGCAGCAAAGAAAGTTAAATGGGTAGATGTGAACAAATTCAAAACATTAACACATTCATAAGCTTCGCCAATTTTCTTCGGATAAGCATCGAAATGAAATCAAGCCAGGCATCCAGCTCATCGAACAATTGGATAAGAATTTGCCATTTCATAAAAGCCCAAAAATGATGAAGACAACGGGGAAAAGAAAGAGACACTTTTCATATTCTAGAAGGCTTAATAAGACTTACATCTCTACCACAGTTAAGAATATTGTTGTTTAGGCTTGCCAACATCATTCGATTGGTAGCCATTACACCTTTTGGAACGCCTAAAATTGAAAGGAAGAGATGATGCATCAATTTTAATCCCATAAAGCCGCAACAAAGTTTCTATGGTAAGATATTTGAACGGGAGAACACACACAGTAAGCAAGTGAAATAATATTATTGGATGTGCACACAACTAGGAACTACTGCGCTCATCGGACAGGGCTTTCAGTAACATTACACAAACAACCCCATGATTAAGCTAATAAAGAAAATTCTTAGCGTACCAGTAGTGCCGCTTGTGTAGCAAATGAGAACAAGGTCGTCTGGTTCAGAGGGCTAAAGAGGACAGAAAAATGAATGATCTGATAAAAAAAACTCATTAATAGTCCAGTTTAACGTTGGAGGCTGGCTAATAGAGCGGGGATTAGGTAGTCACTAAACCTTATAATTCGCGATTCGTAAGCTCGAAAGCAGACCTGCAGTGGGTCAGTGAAATGGGACTAGGTGACAGCCTAATACTCAGCTGTCATGGTCCAAAACTTCCCCTTACACATCAGTTTAGAGGGAAGAACCGCACAACTCCAAAACCAAGGAGGCTGCGCAAACAAGGCACGGGGAAGTAGATGGCGCCAGCTTACGTGTAGTAATTAAACCGTAGCAATTGCTTTTAACAAAGTGGGTGAACTCAAACGCACACACATGCCTGCAAAATCGCGAAATTATAAGCAGAAAGTGGAAGGAGACGTGGTGAATCGCGTAGAGATGAGAGCTACCATCGCACACGGCGTTAATGTGTGCAAAGCAAGAAAAAAAACAAGACACGAAAGTACGGAAGAGCACAATTTCATCTCACTAATGGAATTTCAGTGATAAAGTGGGAATGGTGTAAATACGAAACGCCACGGAAGAAGGATGCGAATCACCACACCCGTGTTGGAAGCAGAATGCATGAGAGGAGCGATGACCACAACGCGAACATTGAACCACGAACGTGAGAGTTTGAAACAGACAGAAAAATGGAGCGAATGTAGGCAAATTTTGAAAGGCTTTCTGAACCCAGTAGGTCAACGAAAAGATCTAAATGGAAGACTCAGTTAATTGAATGCGATAAGCATGCGACACTTCAAGAGGCTCAAATTCACAAACATTAGAGATTGAATTCCCAGTTATCCAAGGGCAAACAAAAGCAAAGCTTCAGCAAAGCGGCAATAGGTAAGCATTTCTAAAGCAGAGTTGGTGTGAAAAGAAGTCCAGATAGGCATTCTCGAAGAAAAAGTTCCAGTAAACTCTTCAAATTTACTTTGAAGAAAGAGCTTGAATGAGAAGCTTCAAGACAGGTTAAATTATGCAACCACTAAAGTAAAAGAAAACCGAAGCTAAAAATAAATGCAAAGCCCATTGGGGCACTATGAAAAGATAGATGAAAAACATTGAAGCAGAGAATTGAAAGTTTTAAAGCTGATTACGCAGCCTCTGCGTAGGCAAGATCTCCCATGGCGGACTTTTTGACCCCAGTAAGTCAGCAGAAAGTTGGAAACGTACTCAAGCATTCGACCATAAGAAGCACAACAGAGGCACGCCAAGAAACAAAATTGCATACATAGAGGGGGGGGGGGCATTTGGAAAACTTGGCAGTAAACAAAGAGGACTTTAGTAAAGGGAAAAAAAGACGCCTCTAAATGGACGTTTTTGACGAAGAGTAGCGTTACGATTGTGGAACACTGCTAAGTCAGTATGATAAGGGTGATGAAGGTTTCCAAAAGCATCTACATATGTCGACTCAGAACGTCTTAAATTAGTGGAGTTTCACATAAGGCGAGTCAATTGTTCCTCCATGTGAACAAGTTCCCCAAAGACTAAAATAGTGAAGGTAGATAAATTTTGGTTAGCTTTCTAGCCACCATAGATCAGTGTATGACGGAAGCTAAAGGAAGGAGGTAGAAAGGGTGGAGTTCAGATCTTGAAATGGGGAGTGACAGGAGAGTACGAAGCAAGGAATGAACAGAGCCGACATACGTTAACGGGAGCCATCTGCGAACTGGAAATTTTTCAAATGGCATCAATGAATTAATTTCTACAAGCATCATAATTTTGACAAAACGGCCAATGCAGGATGCAAATATGAACAAACACAGAACCTACGTATATATAAATATAGTTACTCTCAAATGCGAGCACCCTCTCCAAAGACAGACAGACAGACCGACCGAGGGCATATACCAACACAGACCAGCTTTTGATCTTAATGAGTTAGTACATGCCAGGCACTAAATATTTACAGTGAAGTCACCCAACTTAACCCAGTAAAAATGACTAAATGAGGAGCCTAACTAGCACAGCAACATGGGGAAAATGGGCATATCCAAATGCCCTATGCATGCTGGCTGGGAACGAACACTGAGAAAGTAGAAATCACCTTTAAAAGATGGAAAGAAGGGAAACTGTCCGAGCATCACAACTTCAACTAAAAACTAGCAAGGCAGCATGGAAAGGGAGATGAAAGCTCTCAAGCAACTGCCTGTAAATATTGGAAATTCGAAATCTGGAACAGATTGAGTCAACCCCACGTGTGGGAACAAGCCCAATGCGCCAAAATCAGCTCAGCCAACAGTCCCATCGGATGTATCTGTCCAAACCGGACACACGCGGCCGTGCGTTCCCGCGTGGCGTCATACTCTACGTCCTTGAGACCAAACAACCAACCAGGGCACACAATGGAAGACAGTGGGTTGATGGTAGGAGCCTTAAAAATAGTGGGAGGGAGGACGCGAGAGGTGGAGGATAGGGTCGTGCAAAACCAGACTTTGAATTACGATGGTAAGAGAGTGGGAAAAGCACGAATTTACCGTTGTTTCCAGAGGGGAGGCCTCACCACGAATCTAAAAGGTTAAAAAGAAAAACATTACGAAAAAGTGAAGGTCAGGAAATAAGCAAAACTGCACACTTTCATAGACTTACTAAAATATCATTAAAGGTGAAGACTTGAATGCCATCTCCGGCCCTCGCCTTAAGTGCAGTGAGATCGTCGTCAGAGTTCATTATGATGAGGTGTTTAACAAAAGGAATGGTTTCTGCTAAGTTCAACAGTTTGAGAGCCTGAACTGCCGTGTCACACACCACCACAGAGAGCTCAGCTAGAAAATAAAAACCAATAATAATGCAAATCCGTCATACGCTGGAGACTAGCCAACACATCTTTCGTTAGATTAGTTAGCCGCCAATGACCCTAATGCAGCCGTAAATTCAAGGCGAGAAGATAGCCTTGCCAAGAAATGTTGAAGCATAAGGCGAGAGAATGACCCAGTGTACCATTCAGGGGAGTTGGATCCATAGCTCAGACAACTAAGAACCTACTTTGTTTACAGATGTACAGTAAAGCCTCCTCTCCGAACGTATCGAATAGTGGAACTGTGGTAAGTTTGTATGAAAAACAGGCGTACTCCGAGATGAACCACTGAAATCGAAAACAGTAGGTAAAGAGGAGAGTGTGATTTCCAGGCAAATTGTGGTGGGATAAAAAAAGTATTCCTGGAGGCGATATCGAGGGAGAGTGTAATATTACTGGGTGTATCCATTAATATTCCCACAATACAAACATAGCTCGATTAAATTACAAGAAACCGCAAGTAGAATTTTCATTACCTCAGGTCGATTTTTTCCATAAATCCCGACGCATTTAAACGGTTCTGAGGAGAGTGAATCTAAAGTCCGAAGACCTGAGCCAAACTTCTTAACGGTAACATAGACCTCGTTGAAAGTTCGCCAAACATAAGGAGATGTAGGAGTGACATGAGTGCCGAGAAATGGACGGTCGCCTTATAAAAAAGGAACAAAGTGACTACAAACTAGGAAAACTTACACAAAACAAGACCGTAACAAAGGCAACAACACAACTCTTCTGTTTGGCAATGCAGGGAATAAAAAAGCTACTTACCTCCCAAACTCATGGCTTCTTTGAATAAATCATGCACACATTTGGACCCATTTCCGAGAATATTGGGCAAAACACAATCTTTATAGGACGGGTTTACACGAATTCCACCCTATTAAGCAAGAAATGGTTTTAGCGGGATTAATTTAACTTTTGGGGTTGCGTAAAGGCAAAACTCACTTCTAAAGTGTAAGCATGATTTTGGATACCGGGTTTATAAGAACTAGTGCTACTCGAAGACTTGAACATCTGAATGCTAAAATAGAAAACAACAAGTTAAAGATAGCACTACAACTGAAGCAGAATCTCAAATGATGGCAAATAAAAAACATTCTATGGAAACAAGGGATAGAGTAACCAGATCCTTGCGTAACTTGGGTTCACGGAATTCCTAAAATGAACTATTGGACGACTTAAAATACAACAATCAAGTAAATGGGTCGCAATGAAATGTGTTATAGAAATTATGATGAAGTCCGAAAAAGGTGACTGAACCCACTAAAATGACTATTAGACAGATAAAGTTGGGTTAGCAGCCAAACTGTGCCAAAATTCAGACCACAATCGGAAGTAATAAGTTCTGGTTCTATGCTACAGGGCAGGAAGCGCGATAAAGGCAACCTAGAACTCAATTAAACCACATGCTTCTTCGTTAAATCAAAACACACCGAAAAAATAGTAGATTTCCACATTTGATACAGCATTTTATACGTTCCATTAAAACAAATGAAGTAAATGCAAAGACTAGCCAACTCATAACGGCACAA